ACTAGAGTAGTGCCTGAAGATTACTTGGTGCGGCTATAAACGACTGTTAAATGGAATGATGAATTGTTGAAGGATTTTGAAAACGGAAAAAATGATAGTCATGCCGGCCCAGCATCATCAACATTGAAAAATGCCCCGGCACGAAGTGGTTAAAAATGCTCAAAGTAATTGCTCAACCCATCATATGGTACCTCAGATACATACACATATGTACATTAGCTCCCGGACACTTCTTAAGTAAAGAATTTTTAGAAACTGAGGTGGGTATATTTGGAAAATGTGAACTTCTGCTTAAACACTGCATAAATACTGTACTGTGCACACATGTGCACCTGTGCTGGGTTAGGGTAGTACCATACTATGGTAATACTCCTCATTACAATGACCAACTGATTCGACAAATTACAAATACAGAAATATGGAAGGGCTGCGTGGTACTGTGATCAGAATTTAAGACTAGACAAGAATATAATATAAAATCAGTGCTCTGAAACTAGCTCGGCAATTACATATCACATACAAATATACATGTACCTGTCCATAAGTCAACAGGGAATGGATTCCACCGGACACAATTGTAACCTGCCTTCAGTTTGTCTTCAACACTTTTGAAGGAGTAGGGAAATGAACTTGTATCACCTCGAACCACAGCTAAATTAGCTAATGATACAGACTGACCATAAAGCAGGTTAAGGAACATTATGCAATAGTGAGTCAATATATACATATCACACTCTTTTAATCTCAGACTGAAATAAACAGGTTCATTTTGCCAATCAGTAATGAAACAATCCACAAAACACTTTCCAATTCATGTGTGTTTAATTATTCTATGAACAACATCCTAATGCAAAACACTGAGAAAATAATGAAACACATAAGAGTGCACTAAAGACACACAACAGAACACTTATCTGAAAAGTTAGTTGAGTGGATACTTGGCAAACTGTTCTCTTTTGCTTCTGCCAAAAATAAGGGAAAGTACTGAGAAACACACTCTAAAACACTGTTTTCAAAGTCCAGCAATGATGTAGGAAATGGCGAAGTCACAACACCAATATTTATGACATCAACCTACACAATACATACCAATTCATACATCTCTATAATGAGAAATGCAAGAGTTGGATCTTTTGGTACAAAATTCATAAATATTAAAAAATTACACGCTTGGTTAGAGCATTTGATTTATCAAACTTTAATCAGATATTTCCTTCTATAACCAGGCCTTAATATATAGTGACAACCGCACATACACACACATTGGTACACACCTATACAATCCATGCACTTGGATGACCAACAGCTTGGTCACTTACTGATAAATGCTGGTTCATTCATGACACATTCCTCAGTGCAACTGAAAGATTTTTATGCTAATAAAAATTTGGGGAAGCTAATTAAGGACAATTTCTGAGCTCCCACACACAGGAAAATTCGTAACCTTCAATGTCCCAAAATTTATGACGTTTTAAAAGGTCAAAGAATATAAATATTACACTTTAAACAATCTTAAGAAAAAAAGGATACTGCATTTCCTTGTTTATTATATCTGGTGAGTTGGTTGACCACACTCTCTGCTGTAGCTTCCCATGATGACTTGCTGGAGACAGAAGTAGAAGAGTACATTCATCTACATAAGCCAATAAACATCATAGTTGACAATTGCAATGAAATAGTAAATGACGATGAGGGATTCCCAAATTCTGACATTTCTTTCTGAAATGTTAAGGAAGAAGTTTACACACATGTATGCTTGTGTGGAGGTACATGTATGTGTACATGTACTTACTTATACAACATCATACTCAGACTCAAACAAGGACTCGACCGTCAATGAAGGTTGCCTGTCAGATTAGAGTAGCCACCAGACAGTCGTTCATGTGGGTGTAAATGTCCAGTCAATGAACACATGAATTTTGGAAGAATTTTGAAAACGGAAAATCTTGAAAAGGTCCCGTCATCTCATCTCGCTGAAGAAAAATCCACCCAGCAGGTAGTGGTTATACGACATACAGTGCTACTGCAGGTGTGAATTACAAGAACTACAGTACAATGGGCGGTAAGCCAATCAATCGCACTGGACCAACAATGGTACGTCTGAATTCAGAAAAGTAAATGCAATGAAAATGTTGAAAACATAAAAACCAGCAAACAATGTGATAAGATTTAAGGTAGATATAAGGTAATAATGCTAATTTGTCTATGCATTTTGATTTTTAATGAATTTCAATGGATTTCAATGTAAAAAATGCTAGATTTTTAACATAGCCATCAATCATCGCCTATGCACAAATACTGTGCCCAAGGTACATGGCTTACCACAAAAAATAATACATGTTCTCAAAATACGGGCCTTTAGTGTATCAATTTTCTTAACACCTAAATTCTCCTTCAATTTAAGTCACTGTCATCAGTTTTAACAAAAACCAATTCCAGTATTCAGTGTTAAAGGTCATGAATATTTTGGGAGGTAAATGGAGTGTTCAGGATTGCTAAAATTTTCAGTACAGGTGTGTTTGTTGTGGTGGTGTTCTGCTCTATTCCTACAGGTGCATTAACCCTAACCCCCTATCATGCATATGTTTGTTGGATTCAGAATGGTTATAAGGGTTAAAGGAAAATCTTACCTCTTACAAACACATGCAGTATGCAGAAATTTATAGGCTGGCATAGGACATACAGAGCGTAGCATCTCCCACAGCTCATTACCAGTGCAAATGCCATTATCAGTTGAAAGGTAACTGTTAATAGGAAAACATGGCTTTTCACTGACCTTTCATATATCATTGTCTGACCTGTACATAAAGTGAAGCATCCCTGAGCAGAAATTTGGTAAGTGCAAAACCATGTCTGACATATTTCTATAAAGTCATTTGGAACATGATTTGCAGCAGCACAGTGTAAACAGTTTTGAGTGACGATGTCATCTCCACATCATTTCTTGCATTTGGCACACAGCTACATCTATACATGTACATGCAACAACTGGTCACAACAAAATTATCATACATGCATGTCAAGTTTATTTGGTGTGCACTTATGATTTCTTATGAAATAAAGATCAAGCTACAGGTATTTTGATTCTTTAGCCAACTAAATCACAAAATCCTACCCACATGTGTGGGACGAGTCTGCTAGAGAATACCTACCCCTACAGTCAATATTATATGCAAATTTCTAATGCACCTATTGTTATTTGCTGAAAAGGCTTGATCATCCATAGTGTACCATGACCTCCCATAATGCATTGCAGTCATGCCACCATGTTTGTCCTTTTAGAAAACAACTCAGGGCAAGGGAGCAGGGAGGATACATTCAACCTACCCAAACAGTCAATACATATGCAAAATAGCACCAGTCTTAGTTGAGAAGTTGGCTACAACACATGCACTGAAAATGATTAATACACGTATACATTTGTGAACTGTAAATAATAAAATTATGTAAATCAAATATTGGAAAAATTGCCAGAACCTTAGTGCACTCAAGACAAAGATCTTTACTCCCTCCACTTTGTAGTTCCTTACCAAATTTCCGCCCTCCTAGAAGTAATCATGGTCTCTTTAACCCAATTTGCCATACTTTCAAATACAAAAAGTTGGCAGTCCCCCAAATGGTCAAAATAATTAATGCCATTAATTTTTTTTGTAATTGTTATCCTTTTAGTTGACAATTTAACTTGCTCCTCCTAAGTGCAATACATGTATTTGTTGTTGGTGTTGGCATCATTGATTTTGTGGCTGTCATACGTGGTTTATTTGGAAATTTGTAATAGTTTTGACTGAATTTTAATTATTAATTATTACAATGGTTTTAATTTTTGTAAATCAATCATTATGATTCCCTCGACTCATAAAGATTGAATTGATATTGTTTTTAAACCGAAATAAATAAATAAAAAAATAATAATAGAGCAGGTCAAACATCAGATTTATAATAATTAGGTCTTCAGGGTGACTTGCCATCTGCCCGGTCTGCAGGATATTTCCTTGACCTAAGACCTCCTAAAAATAAGACCAAGACATACATGTAGATACTGCCCTTAATTAAGTCATGGACCCTGATGTAGCATTGACGTTGTTCATTAGGACGTGATGGCCAGTCTGGGTTGGCAAATTGATGGCCGAGACTGCTAGCAGGCAATGATATCTCCCTTGGCTGTTGGTCTTTGCTAAGGCATGTGGTCAAAATACAGACGGTTTAGAAAAAGTTCAACGGTTGGTATTATCCCCCTTCACTCCATTGCTCACTTGGTTTTGGACAGTTCAAAAGTTTGAAAAGAACGTCTGCCCTGACAAGCAACCCTGACAACAATGGAGTTTGTGGTTTTAAACACAGCCCTAGCAGTGAACAATAGATCCTATTCAAGGAGAACTTCAGTGGTCAGCCCTCCTCAGCTGGCCTTGGCCGTAGGATTAGTGGGTAACACCTTGTGATAGAGATGCAAAATCAACTGCATTCTAGGCTACAGGCCTTGTTCTAGCCTCAGAAAAGTTTGGAGTGGGTAGTTTATGATAAAAAGACATCGCCACAAGACTAATATTTGTCTTTAAGTGTTTTTTAGACTGGGAAATAAAGAAGTTTATATGGGTGTGATCGGAATTGCCACACAGTTACCTACTTTACCACTTGATATATCATCTGTGAAGAGAAGTATTGACATAGACATGATATGAATTCATTTTGAAATTCAGTAAGGTGTACCAATTTTCTTTGAAGGTAATAAAAAAGTGAAACTCCGTATCAAATAGTGCTGCAAGTAAGTGTCAAGGTTCAGTTCGGGTCGGACACTGTTTGGAAATTTTTTGCCGAATTTTGGTTCGGTTGGAGCATACACACATGTACATGTACAGCACACACTGAAACACTGAAAAGTTTGCTACGACCGTGCCACATAGGCCACAGACTTTCTGTGTATAAAATATGTTAGTGCAAGTGATGAATCTCCTATCTATCTCCATCCGCGAGCAACATTGATTTGAATATATTTTTTCAAACTGTTTTGCCAGAGTTCATTTACGAGTTAATTCCATAACAAATTACTGCCAGAGGTGTGACAGTTCTGACCTGTTTTGCCAGCCAGAAGTGGTTGTGTGAGGACCACGCTTGACTCAACAAAACGATCCTAAGATATGTGCATATAGAAAAAACAATATGCTCAATTAGGACTTTCCTCCTTCAGTACGGAATACAAGAACAAATTAGATTTCGAGAAAATTGTGTTTTGTTTATTTTTGCAAAATAGATTCAACTACGAAAAAGGATGGCGCCCACATGACCAAAGGGGCAATTTTCCATCAGCCTCTTTCAGAGGGATAACAGCATTTTGTTATTTGAGATCCGGCAAAATTCCATTACTTTGCATTCCCACAACGATCAACCCCTTCATGATGAAATGAAAGGCAAGTTAGGCCACCCCGCGAACAAAACTCTTCTCGCGTGTTGCGCTGAAGCGCTGCATGGACCGAGCACTTGGCAAAGTTTCCCTCCGGAGATGCCTTTGATCGAGCACGAGTCTGACTGTGATCAGCATCAAATCAAAATTTGTTTTGCAGGGCCATTTATGACATCATTGGCCTAATATGAAACGTCATTAGCCTAAAATGGAATGTTAGGGCTTGGCTATCGGGAGATTGGCAAATATAACACTAAATCTGAATATACATGAGGACGATTGGATGAAGTGAGAATTTAGAAATGTTACGCAGTGGCAATGCTGCAAGTTGCATATTCTTGGTTGATACAGCTATCTCATGATGCGGGGCCATTGTAAGTTTCAGTATGTTCATGCATGCGCATTGTGCAGCATGCCGTACAATTCGTCATCCATTTTTTGTTGTTTTTTTTTTTTTTAGTTTTCTTGTATGTACTCCCCTGTGCCTTAAAGAAATGCCATATTAAAGCAGAACATCTGAACCGAGCAGTTTGGTTCGGTTCAGTTCGAAAGTGCCTTGTTTGATGATTTTTAGTTTGGTTTGGTGGTTTGCCTGCAGCACTAGATTAACTTGTGTTTGTTTTTATTTACTGTGCATTAAAGTTTAATAGATAAAGTCAAACACCAGAAATTAGTATAAAACCCAACATGTTTGTTTCCCAACATGAATTTTGAGCAGCAACAAAGTATAAAAAAGCACAAAAGAGCCTTACAAAACAAAATGCAACGTGCACGCATGTACTATTGACTTAAAGCATGTATCCTTAAATCGTGCAGGTGCAGGCTGGAAGTGGAAAGCATGTAGTTCATGTACGTGTTTCATTGATCCTACACATGCGTAATGCTGAGTCCCAGTTTGCACACATGGGCCAAAAAGAGGTTTTATCTACAGCTATGCGTTAATGAACAGAACACAACGTCACGTATGATTCAGGTAAATACTGTTTCGAGTGAGCATATTTGATTCTGCAGGTATACAGTTCGGCCCATGATACGGAGGAAGAAAATACCAAGATTACAGGGTAGCGAGTCCTGAAAAGACTTGTCTGGAAACCGACAGCACAGATATTTCACACTTTATTAGCAACACAACTCAATACACATGCTCTATCAGAAAGTTAAAACAGTCTGCCGATCTAAATCCTCCTGCGGAGCTGCAAAGTAAAGAGCTATTGTCATGGCTCATCCACGAGACTGCAGAAGCCCATGCTGCGGTAATGCGATAAGCAGTTCATTGTTTACTGGAAGCTGCAAAGTGCAGGGTGCACTCAACTGCAAATGGTTTGGCCAACCTTGCTGAAGCGTTCATTTGTTTGATGTTGACTGTCGGTGGGCTTAGCGTTTACAAAGTGTTGAATCCTTTCAAAAGCATTTCTATTTTGACCTCACGCCTAAGCACCACTTCAATATGTGGACCGGGCACAGGAGTTTGTTCCTTTTGACTCCAATATGAGGTTGTCAGGAGCACAAAAATATCCGGTGGCTCAAACGACAGGGTCCGATTCTTCGTCACAAAATCGATGGTCAAGATCAGGCAGACACCATGCAGCTCCCAGCCAATGCGACCTTCAGCAACAGAGAGGGCTTGCAGTTTATTGCCCTGTCTGGAAGTGGCCATGGCTAGGAGGAAGGTTAACTTGATGCTGGTACATATGAGGGAAATCACTCAAAGGGGGCCCAGTAAGCATGTGGAGGACTTTGCTTAAGTTGCAGGACATGACTAGCCGCTTGGTATGGGGGCATTCGATGAACATACCATGCAAGAGATGATGAAGGGCCATGTTGTAAGAGATGGAGGAGGCATCTTCAAAGCCGATTTTTTTGTATGCATTGGGGCCAAGGCTGATCCGTGATGAGATAGGTGGAAAGGCATAACTAGTAGACCGGTCCAGTTTAGCTGTAGAGCATCCATGGCCCATGCACGTGGATGCAGCATTATGGTGCAAAACACTGAGAGTTGCACTAATGCAGAGAGATAGAAGTGATGTCTCTATTGCCAAGAAGAGTTCTCTGACTATGCTGGGGTGCAGAGTCAACTTGGTTGGGTGGATCGCGTCATGGCAGAGCACGTCCACTGTCGTATTTTCAGCCCATCAATGTGGACTGCTTGAAGGTTATCACATGGCTTTTTGTCCAATGTGAGATTTCAATCTTAGAATGCATAACTGGGGAAATGTATGCCCCTTGAAGGCTGATACAGGCCATCGCCATTGAATTGTCTGACAGGACCAGGATGTTCTTCCCTTCAATGTACATGTATATGAAGAAATGATGTAGCTATTGAAAATTGAAGTTCCAGGACGTTGATGCGATTTTCCTGAAAGTGGGCATCCCAGTTCCCTGAAACCTGATGTCAGGGAAGGGAGGCCAAATCCCAGCAACAACATATTGGCAGTAATCACTATGTATCTCGGGTTTTGCCCATGAGTCCAGCATTTAGGTAATCTTCTTTTAGCCACCATAGCAGATGTTGGTGAAGATCCTCTGATACACTGATTGGATGGTTGATGGGATCTGTCTTGGGACGGTATTGAGAAAGAAGCTGGAGTTACAGCAGTCTCGTATGAAGCCTGCTCCATGGTACTAAGTCCACCATGTTGGCCATCAATCCAAGGGGACAGAGCCAGGTGAGAAATGGGGGCACTTGAGAAGACTGTAAGTGAAACATGTGTTATGTACAGTACATGTACATGTATACACACACACAGTCTCTGTACTGTGGCAGATTAGGTAATAGTACCACACACAATTCTATGTGTGACCTGCATTTGACCCCAGGCCACAGTTAAAATGACCTCAATGTAGTCCAGAATATTCTTGTTGTACGTCCGGGAAATTTCTTGTAAGCTGACGATATTTCCAGTTATCTAGTGTATGTTCTGTGTAAGGTTTCTTGTAACGTTGAGTAATGTTGAAGAGTCTATTTTAAGAAACTTACATAATGAGAAGAAATTTCTAGAAGAATTTTAGACTCTAAAATAGGGGCTCTGCCAGACAAGGACAGGAGAGCAAGAGAGACAAACACAGCTAGACAGATTTTGAAAGGCAATTCTACCGTACACAGGCTGTGAGAAGTCTTCTGCACCATTTCAACCTGTGGTGGCGAGTCGTCTGTGGAGCAACACTTGTAAAAAAACTTCCTCCAGACCAAGTGAAGTCCTGAGCTGAATCTTGTTCCAGAAAAGACAGTTTGTGAACTGAATCCAGTTCCAGCCTGTGGGATCATCAAGTCCCAAATCTGCGCCATCATGGCCATCATGCCCTTGCCATTTCATCTCGAGCCCAGTCATTCTTATTGGATGTGGTCTTCGTCCCAGTGGCAGCTCATTTTTTGCACCGTCAAGGACTGAACTGCTTTTCGCCATCTGTGGAGTTCAGCATTCTCTACTGTAGTACCTGCGAAGCTCTTGCCCGTAAGAACATCTTGTTTATATAAAACCTTTTCTAGATTCTCTATCCTTTCACTGTAAACTACCTCCAATCAATATTTTCTTTGTTATCCTTAATTTTTCACAAGTGTACCATTCTCATTAAATCATAACTGTTTATTTGTTCATTATATCAGTGTGATCTTGTTTGATTTCTTTGTTGCATCAGAGAAATTTCAAGCTTCAGAATAATTCAATAGTTTGGAGTTTTTCAAATCGTGACATGAACTTCAGTTGTCGGGGTGATGATGCCTTTGCAGAGGTCAAGCATTGCCCCGATGTAAGGTGGGAGCTGGGATAGTATCAGCTTTGACTTTTCTTGGTTGATGAGGAACCTGAGTTGGGTAGTGAGGTCAGAAGTATGGTGAGTTGACACTACAATCTCGTCTTGGTTCCGGCCGACGATCACACAGTCATCCACGGACTGAAAGATCAAGACGTCCAGCTGTCATAGAAGGGCAGTGACGGTCCTTGAAACCTCGGTGAAAACTCTACGCAAAGTTGACAGACCAAACGGAAGAGCTCAGAATTTGTATGTCCTCCATTTGTACAATGTACATGAAGCGGAGGAACCTGTAGTCACATTTGTGAATGGGTACATGGAGATAGGTGTCCTAGAGATTGACCGTCAAGGCTCAGGATGGGATGGGTAAGAAGTGTTTTACCATCAGAATGTCTCCATGCAGAATTTCTTTGGGCAGATGAATCTGTTCAGCGGTTTCAGATTGGTAAAGGGACACCATTTGCTCCTTCACTTGGCTGGGTTGAACTTGAAGGATGGCATGATTTTGTAGTTGGGAATTTATCTCTGACTCCAGCACCAAGCGTTGGTCTTTGTTGCCTGGGACTGGAGTCAGCTGCAGTATCACCTCAGGTGGAGGGGTGCTTGTGAACTCGAGAGAGTATCTGTGAGAGTCGTAAGTACATGTACCCATCTGTCCTGTTGAAGGATTTGAATCATGTCCCATCAGAGAAGGCGGCTCTTGGAGGAAGTGAGACAACTGACAGAATCAATCTCATCCTTATTTGAAGACATGATCAGCTGATCTATCTAGGGTATGGCTGTTCCACAGTGCAATCTATGAGTGCTCCAAGTGGGAGCAGGTGTTTGACTGGTGCGAGTCCTGGTGGATAATGTTCATGTATCTCACCTGGTGTCATTGCAGTTCGCTGCCATGGAAGGAGGAGGCTGGCCCCGTGGGAGCGGGTCTGGGTCCAGGGTGGTAGAGGCTGGAGGAGGCTAACTGTTGAGGTGTCGAGCTATGGAAGTCAAGGCTTTATTGATGGACTGGAAGACCGACATTCATGTCGTGGTAGAAGTATCCTGATGTTCAGAGTAGCACCTCTTCTTGGACTTCAAGGTGTTAGATGAAGAAGAGGAGTGCTTGCCCCATATATTTCTTAGGCAATCCAGTGGCTGAAGTGGTGGATGAGGCTGGAGGGGTCGTATCACAGGAGGAGCCTTCCTGGTCTTGATTTGCATGAGCTTAATCATTTCAGGTTGAAGTTCCAGTCCAGGCATGGTGAGATGTTCTGAAGATACCAAATTGAAACCTGGGATGCAGATGGACCATGGTGGTCTAAAGCCTTGGTGGCATAGCAGTCCAGTGGGCTCTGTGGCACCTGATAAATCTTTTGGGTATCACAGCACTGTGGCCCGACGGTGTATCAGATGGGACGGATCCAGCAGAGTGTGGGGAGCCGGCTCTGGTGTCTTGATTATCAAGACGAGTGGAAGTACGCTAGGTTGATTTTGCGAAGTGGTTTCTCTCACTGATGTAGAACGGCAGCCGATGCCCGCTGGAGTAGGCAGGGGATTCTAGTGCTGTCATTCAGTGGGTTCTTTTGGGCCAAGTTGGTCTACGGACGTGGTGTACTTCACAGTGATGACGGGACAAGCACAGGAGATGTCGGGTGAAGCATGCTCTGGGGAGTTCAGACTGGCTCAGTAGACCCGATAGATTGACAAGGATCCTAGCCAGCTGGTGCCCTTGCTCAGGCAGTCTTATGCAATGGTCCTTGGAGCTTCCCCGTCAGCTCTATGTAGGGCCAAATGAGACAGGAGTCCTAGCCAGATCCTAGGGGGTGCCCTTCTTTGCATGGCTATGGCCTTTATTCTTATCCAGCTTGCCAGCAGAAGCAGAGATCCTAGCCAGATCCAAGTGGGTGCCCCTGTTCAGCTCTGTGTAGGCCTGTTAGTAATGCGGTAAAGTAGTCACAAGTGCAGCTGGAACGAACCTCACAGTACAAATAACACTCTTACCAACAAATGTGATGTGTCACTAAATTCAATGAGCTGAAAGTCATAATTTTCAAATATTGAGATATTGGTATTTTGAATTCAGCAAAAAGAGAATTTTCCAGTGGTATGTACATGGAACACTCAGAGTAAAAGGATAATGTGAAAATGTGACATTATTCTGGCAGCTTTGTGTCTTTGTTTCCGACACTGTTCGGAACTGTTTCACCATTTCAGACCAGGCACAAATAATGCTGTCGTCAAAATTGCTGAGAAAATGACATTTATGATCCTGCAAATATTTGGAATTAAATAAAAGACAGGTTACTCTTTCCAAATATTACAAAACCAAAAAAATTGAATTCCTCTTCAATATGACTTTGAACCCTCAAAACAGATGAAATTTTTACTCTCATTTTGTCGTGACGGGTCACAAATAGGTGAAAATCAAGGTAATCCTTTATTCAGAGGAAGGATTGATGACCAAATGATCAAATGCATGAAAAGACACATCCATTATATTACAGTACTGAGAAAAGAAGAGCAAACATGGCAGCGTGACCGCAATGTAATGTGGGAGGTCAGGGTGCACCGTGGATGATCAAGTCTTTTCAGTGAATAATAATAGGTGCATGGGAAATTTACATATTGCATTGACTGTTTGGGTACATGTAGGTTGAATACAGAGGACTACCAATTTACTGAAGAAGTAGGAGTTGAAGGTCCTGGTTCCCTTTTTGATACTTAATTCATGTACCATAACAGTCATCCTAAAGCACCTATCCTGTTCAAACAATTCAGCTATTATACAAAAGACAGATGAAGGCTGCTTTTGGAGTAAAAGTAATCAATGAAAGGCAAATACAAACTAACACTAGTTCCCTGTTATCACTTCACAGCACTTGCCGGTTTCATTTAAATGATCTCAATGTCTTATCTCTCTTGAATAATATCTATTATTTATTGAATATTATCTATTATTTATTGCAAAATGCATTTTGATTTGTTCCTTTTTTAATTTCCATGAGATCTTGTTATTTTATACATAAACAATTCAGAGAAATGAATCCATTTACTGATTGAGGCTGAAGGAATACCTACCTTTTTTCATTCTTCTTCAAGTTCGTTTTAAGTGGAAGACACATTCCAGCTATGCAATCACTGATGTAACAATTCATATCAGCTAAAGATGTCTGCTGGGAATTTCTCGTTTTGTTTGCAGCATTTGCTCCCATTGTTAGATGGAGAATTTCATCATTTTTGAAGAGATCAACAGCATCAGAAAACCTGTGGAAATCATCAATGTAATACATAATCTTAGGAGTGCTTGTGCAAATTTACTTTGCGATTTGCAAACAAGCTTGGGCCATACATAAAATATATAATGGTTAGTTTCATTTGGTTATTCTATATTCACGCTGAGCTAGCTCAGTATTTCAAAAAAGCAAAGTCGTTCAGGAACAAAGCATGCATGTGCATGACACTCTCTACGTGGAGTGGAGTGCCCTCAATTTTTTTCAGCTATCAGCCAGTCAACATTCACCCATATTTGGTAGGAATCAATGACTACTGTTTGCTGAGATGTTGACATCTAACATTTTGTCTTGAATACATATACACAGATCTGGAGGTCTTCTGAGTTCATACAGATGTTATTTTAAAATCAAATTTTTCCACACAATTGCAAACAAATGTTTAACCTCAGGTTTGTTCTTGTGCAACATTCGTGCTTGGAGTTGCCTTGTTATTAAATAACTTTTAACAAAAAGAAATACTCACCTCTGAAGCCATCCTAATGAGAGAATGGTATTGTAATTTTGAAGAGGGCTTTCCCCAGAAATATGTGGAGCAACAACTGCAGAAAGTATGTAGGCCATTGGATACTCATCTTTTATGTTCTCACAAAGACGAGAACCTTGCCCTATAGCAAGAGAGACATCATCACTGTGTTTATTATCAATTATATCACAACAATAAAAAAATCTTTTGACAGTTGATTTGACCTTTAAAATTATTTATTCTAACAATAAGGCAGCATCAAGCAGTCTTAAATAAAGTTTAACGACAACTGAAACAATATTAAATTTACTAAAGTGATCATTACATGTACATTTTCGAAACGTATACATGTAAATGTGAGGACTATGTCTCATACACACACATTCACCAACCCATCCATGTACACCCACACACACATAAATAAATACCACTTGAATCCATATGTGAAGCATATCTATATCTATACAAAATGACTACAGTGTGATTTGAATTCTGCGACCACCTAACTCCCCCCCCCAAAAAAAATCCGAAAGCAGTAAACCACCTCCCAGGTTTGCAAAATTGCTCATGTTGCTTCCATTATGAGTTTAGACATGATCCTTACATGTACATGTCGCTAAATATTGCATACCAAATATACCAAATACATGTAGCTTCATGGGTGTACAGATTTTGGGATCCTGACTAGTGCCAAAAGAAAACAAAGATATTGACAAATGGGAGGAACCAGCAACATATAGTCAGTTCAGTAGGTTGAGAACAGGCATTATGTGTGCAGTGCAAATCCCCTCTAGTCATTTTATTTGTTCACTGTTACAATGTGTCTTGATGTGCAGTCAATGTACACAAACATCAAACCTGCCCCTAAGCAAAGTTACACATGTATTTCCTTATTTTTCCCCGAATAAAAACTAGTTCAAAATTTCAAAAAGGCAAAGTCTAGAACAAAACACCAGACATAAAGCAAGCTCAAACATGAGCAGTGAATGGGAGTCAGGGTACGGATACGCTTCATTTTCAGAATGTGTAGTTGAAATACATGTACCAAACAGGCTCAAATCCATTTTCCCTCAACTCTATAACTCTATTTTCAAGATGTATTTTTTTTTATAACTCTAGCGTGACAGTGGAACATAAAAATGGGGGATACATGTACTGTATATCAAAGACAAAACACAAGGATTGAGACCCAAATGAGGGTGGTTTATCAGTCGTAAGTGAAAACACAGAGAAAACACAAAGATATTAAAGTCGTTCCGTTCATGTACATGTATCTTATTGGCCATGAGGTCACAGTCCAGTCATTTCCTAAATGTTTTCGCAGCTGAGGCAGACTGCATCATCCGTCTGATGGTAAGGCAAGATCTTCATCTTTGCCCGCTAATATCATGTCAGAAATGGAATGATTAAGAGGGCCAAGTAGTACCTCTGAGGGGCACTGAGTGTCTTGCTCTCTCCAGCATAATAGAACAAACCCTACATGCTATCTGTAGCAGTATCGGACAATTACTATAGTGGCCCATCCCTAATGTACGGTATGCATATGTATCCCAGCATGCATCATTCATGTCATGGCTGCTCCCATGTCCGTAAGTGGACACATGTCAGTCTAGAAATAAAGCCTTGTGTTACTCGACACAACCCGAGTCAACAACATTCTTCATGGTATCATTAAGTACCGGAACTGTTCTGTAGATACACCATGGCCACTTTTGGCAATATTGGCGAGTTTTGCGAGAAGAACGAGACATGGAAAATGTACATTGATTACCTCGGCGAATATTTTGAGAAGAACACTACCACCAATTCAGTTGTTGGCTCACAAACATACAAGTTGATCAGTGATCTTCACAGTCCCAAGAAACCAAATGAGGCTACCTACCAGGAAATCGTAGACAGACTAGAAAAGCACTTCAAGTCCACAAAGTCCAGCATCATGGCGTGTTTCCAGTTCAAAAGCCAATATCGCCAGGCTGGTGAATCAACTGCAGCACTGAGAGCACTCGCAAATGATTGCCACTTTGGCTCAAACCTTGACGAGATGTTGAGAGACAGGCTTGTGTGTGGCATGCAGAATGAAAAAATTCAAAAATCTCTTCTCACCCAGGCTGAACTTGAGAAACTCGACCTAAAGTGTACCGTGGAGCTTGCACAATCAATGATAAATCAGCCAAAATGTTGTCGGCCTCTTCTGGTACCTCAGGGGAGTCCAGCTCAAGCATCAGTGCTGTCCAGAATAAACAAGCCCAGCGTTTCAAGCCAACCCATAGCCAGAAATCTACATGTACATGCAGTATACATCAGCCACGGCCCAAAAAGCCCTGTGGAAATTGTGGCACTTTCCACAACCGATGGGAATGTCCAGCTTATAGCAAGACATGCTACAGCTGCCACAAACAGAAACCATTTTGCCGACTACTGTCGCAGTAAGCGACGCGTCCATGTTCTCAGCCCAGACCAGTATTCAGATGAAGACGACTACACCACAGTTGAGCAAGAATCATTTCATGTTCAGGCCTTAGATGACACAGACCTGAACTTGAAACATGATGTCCACTCTACACTCGTTGTGAATGGCACACACATTCCAGTCCAACTTGACACTGGTGCACATTGCAACGTCCTGCCCATGTGCCTTTATAATGTTATTGCACCACCCAAGCCTACGGATCGCTCTAAATCGACAACACTTGTAGCATATGGAGGTAATTAACTATCCACAGTTGGACTAGCCTCACTGTCATGTTGCATTGACAATTCACAAAGTGACAAACTGAACACAAAATTGACTTCCACACTGTTGATGCACAAATGAAAGCAATCGTTCGTGTGCTGTCCATCAGCAACATGGTATATCATGTATCATGTGACACTGCGTCAACCCAGGTCTTCAAAGACTATTCTGACCTCTTTGACGGATCCCTTGGGTCACTTCCCATTGTCAACTCCATGACCTTGGACCCAATTGCTATACCAGTCGTTTGCCCCTATGTTGCATCCCAGCTACAATGCAAGAAAAAGTCAAAGCCGAACTTCAATGCATGACCAACCTTGGGGTGATAACTCCTGACTCTGAACCGACCGACTGGGTCTCATCTATGGTCGCAACCCATAAGAAAAACAGTGACGAGATACACTTGTGTATTTATCCTCGAGACCTCAACCTTGCACTAATAAATGCCCACATCACCCCACAGGCACAGTAGAGGAAGCTGCTTCCAAGATGGACGTCCCCCCACAGTATTCTCATTGCTAGATGCCAAATGCTCATTTTGGCAAATTCCCTTGGACTACAAGTCATCACTGCTGACACCTTCAGCACACCACACGGCAGATATCACTTTCTTCACATGCCATATGGTATTTGCTCTGCCTCTTAAGTGTATCAGTGTACCATGAAACAGCTTTTTGCAGATTTTCCATGCTCCATCATAGTTGACGACCTACTTGTGGGTGGATGCACAAAAGAGGAGCATGACGGAAACCTGAAGTCGTCCTTGACCATGTATGCAAAATGAACATGCATCTCAATCCTAAAAAGAGCCACTTCGGACTGCCACAAGTTTCCGGTGTTGGTCACATCTTAACCACAAATGGACTCCAGCATGACCCTGCCAAAGTCAGTGCCATTACTGACATGCCCCTCCCTGACAGTGTCACTGCCTTGTAATGCTTCCTTTGCATTGTGACTTAATACCTGGCCAAACCTGAGTGAACTAGCTGCTCCACCATGCGAGCTCATGCAGACTTGACCAACACAACACAGCATTCCTCTAGATCAAGGACAGGATTGCTCATGCACCTACACTCAAGTACTTCAACGTCCACCAGCCAATTACAGTGACCTGCGATGCCTCTGAGTTTGGTGATTTTGCTTCACTTGACAACACAAGTGCCTCTACCATCATCGAAATCCTGAAGAGACAATTTTCCATCCATTGAATTTCCTGCACCGTCATCAGTGACAACGCAAGACAGTATGATTGCCTTGTCTTCAAACAGTTTGCACAATCTTGGGGCTTCCAGCATATCACAAGCAGCCCTCACTTCCCGCAATCGAACAGCCTGGCAGAAAGCTTCAAGCAAGCTAAACAACTCCTTGAGAAGACAAAACACACACGTTCCAACCTATACCGGAAAAATCTCCTGAAAATCTGCAACATTCCATCCAACCCCAGTTTGGCTCCCCTCCAAGAGACTCATCACAGAGACTCGTCACAGCACAGCAATGAAAGTGACGCCACCACCAGAAATCTTCTTATGACAAATTCGCCAAGCCACTTTCCCCACTCGCCCCGGGCCAAATTGTCTGCCTCCAAACACCCAAAGGACACAATCAGCTTGGAATCGTCACAAAACATTAGGAAAACCCCAGATCATACATTGTCAGTGTCTGAGGCACCCTCTACTGCCGCAATCGCAGACACTTGTTGCCAGTCCAGGAACACCCTCCCAAGCAACACCACTCGCCCGACTTCTACCTCCTACCAACCCCATCAAACCCGCCTTGTCAACTACCCAAGCACAGGCACCACAGCCAGTCATTACATGCTCCAGTCGCATATCCAAGCCAAACCCCAAAAATCTTAGACTGTTTAATGTAACTGTTAATGCTCTACCTGAGTATTTGATCACCATCCACTAGCTCCATCTTTACCCACACTGCCTATGAACTTTTGTTTTATCCCCCTGCTGACCTGGAACCATCCTTGAATATTGGACTTGTATACACATAGTTTGCCTAGCCCACATGTGCTGTACTCTTTAAAGGGCAGAATAATCCCTTGTGTACACATTGGGTGCTGGACAGTCTACTCCAGAACCCCAGGCACAAAGATTTTTGTTTTATTAACTTTTCTGTTGTTGCCACTTTCCCCATCATTTAAAGGTAGTGTTTACCTTTGACATTTGTATTCGCACATGCTAAAAAAAAAAGTCACCTCAATCATTAAATAAGCACTTCCTTAATAATGTTGCTTATTTTATTCAAAGTGCTAAGACAAAAGTTAAAAGAGAGGATGTAGCAGTATCGGAAAATTGCTATAGTTGTCCATCCTTAATGTATGCATATGTATCCCAGCATGCATCACTCATGTCATGGCCGCTCCCATGTCCTTAAGTGGACACATGTCAGTCTAGAAATAAAGTCTCATGTTACTCAACATAACCTGAGTCAACAACATTCTTCAGTATCCATGTATTCTGTCTTCAGTCCTGTGGGTACCAGAGGAGTATCCACAAGTCTGATTCCTGAACATGCTCTGCAGGCTGAAATTGTACTTAAGAGCGACATGCTGGGTGGGTGGAGCAAAAGACCTCTCCACCGGATCCAAGAATGGGACAGTGCTGTAATGAAGATGCACTTTTCAAAGTCACCAATAAAAGCATGTAGTATTTACTCAGAAAGGAAAAGTAGCTGTGAGTAGAAGCCTTGTGAGGATAGCAATACTACCGGGGAGGCCCATGTCCAATTTTAGCCAGGGCTGAAGAGCAATAATACATGTCGTGTCAAGAATAATGCCAGATCCATTCAAAAATGTTCCTACTTATTTTGCATTATGACTTAACAAAGAGATATACATGTATAAGACGTCAGAGACTGGAGTGGAAAAGAAACTGGAAAAAGTCCATATCTACTTTTGTTGGTTTGAGAACACCTCCATCTTTATAAAAAGCAAATGTCAACTGATCGATCAGCAATGGGACTACAGCATGTACCGATGACTTAAGAAATTTCCTGTACAGTCAGAAGAATCTCACTATCTATTAAACACCATAGGAAAGCATACAGGTAAACAAAGTGTGATGTCATCAGTATTGAAGTATATTCACAATTCTGAATCTACAAAGTTTAGGACGATTATAGTACACTGTCCAAAGTTTCCTGAAAACAATCTCCCTCCAATAGAATTTTATAACCAGTGCATTTTTTAATAGATGGAAAATCTCATACTTTCAACAGGAAACGTCATTCAGACATTTCCTCTACCTTCTATGCTTCTTTCACATTCAGCATTCACATACATGTGTATGTATAGTGTAGTGTATCAGTAAATCATAATAACGTTGGTATAAAAGAGTAATCAACTCAACATGGGCCACTATTCAGGAATACCAGAAAGGTCAAGAGCAACCCTAAAAAGAGCTCATTGTTTATTGTACATGATAACACTTACATGTATGAGCACTCCCTTGTGCATGCAAAACCTGATTTCATTTCATGCGCTCTTGCAAGCACTTGCTTTTCATCACTAATTTTTCTGAGTTCCAGCTTCATTCAGAAGGAGCGACAGCTTACCCGAACCAGTACCTCCACCTAAACTGTGAATCATGACAGTACCGCAATAGCTGTCACAACGCTCTACTTCTCTACGCAGCACCTCAAGTGTATGTGACAGGATACTATCTTCATGGTACCCTGCATAGAAATCAAAATTTAAAAAGGTTATATGGCACTGCTTGAATTTCTGTTTTTTTGAACAAGACTTTCATGTTTGTTATGGTTAACAGATTGCTGTGGGCCATGAAATATAAAAGATAAAAGGAATAATGTATTAATGAGTGTTCAAAATTTCATTCATTATCAAGAGAGTAAATAGTGTGCCTGGCTGGTCTTAGATCATTTGTGAACATTTAAGACTGGCTCAAGAGAATGGACACTGATGATACCTCAGCCCAAGGGGCATTATAAACGACCATTTATCTGATTTAGTCTTCTCTGCTAGGAAACATGAAATAAGATTTTCATTGCATTATTTCTGTGTAAAACAAATTACGATCTCAAGAATGTCACTTGTGTTGATTTTTCATTTCCAGGATAAGTACATGTACATGTATATAAGATTATATGTGTCCATTGACTCTCAATATCAAGATTTTTTTATAGTAATAAAATCTGTACTTACCTATAGCCCAATTAGTTCCTCTTCCATACTTCCCACTCACAATATTCGATTCTCTTAAGCTGTAGAACAGGGAATAAAGTCAAACTAAACTGTACATTCATTGAATTCTAACCAAGGTCTAGATATGAGAACAAGTGTAAACATGGTTAATCTAATTCCATCTGCTGTGTTCCAAAGACTCTTAAATTTCTGGTGGCAACTTATGAGAGACCAAAGGGGTAAACTTGGCTCATCCAACTTGTTTGTTTTCTCTTTACAGAGATACATGTACCTTTGCCCTTTTAGCTTCTTTCCCCCCAGTTTTCCAACCTTGACCAAGGAGGTGGGCAAATCTGGCCCATGCAGGCCTACTGTGTATGTACATGTGCATTGCATGCACCAATTCACCATGGTCTAGCCCATGTGCGGTGTACACGTGCATGCCTTTTGCATCGTGTGCCAACAGTCACTGTGTGCACTCTTATATATCTTATGTAGTTAAGTGTTTATGGGGACAGGCTGGGTCACGTGGGGTCCATCAAATGGTTTAGCGGTCGCTGTGACCAAAAAGGGCAAGGATATGTAGTTCGTTAAACATGTACTTGCTGTGCACTTCAGTTATGACCTTGTCAAGAGTACATCCATCCCAAGTCGGTTTGTCAACAAGGTGGCAGAATTTTGTGGGGCAGTATCATGAGAGATCCAACTATCCGTTTTTTTTTTCATTTACTGTGGCCTAATGCCATCTCTGTACATCTAAGATGACCTACATGTACTATGCCAAATGAAATTGTCCATGTGGCCAATTAACTTACATTAAGTTCCCACCGAGGCAAGCTACAGCCAGTCACGAGTTTTCCATTTGATCGCTCATCATTTCAAAATTTTACCCTTCTAGCATTGCATTATTGGGTATCATATACTCAGCCATCAGTTTTGTTCTGGAGACTCCCAACCATGAAAACAGAAGGAAGGACATTTAAAATAAGAAAACAAGTGATGAGTGAGTGTGGGCAAAATGAAATCTGTTTGTCTAGAGTGCAGGCATGAGATTTGATGGCAGATTGAGGGTATGCTTGGCATGGTCCACTTCAGAATCCTAACCCTCTGAAGGTTTAACTTCATTGGTAGTTTGGCACTGATAATCAGTCCTGATCTCGACCTTCTTGGCCAAGCTAATTGGGGCCAAATTTGGTAGAAACAAGCCATATGTCTATCCCAATCTCAGCAACCTTCAGCCTCTCAAGACAATCCACAGAATAAACCCGATGGCCACTAGGTTTAGCTCATTCTGTGACAACTTTAAACCTAACACGACCTTCAGAAAACCTGCTTTTGGCCACATGATGCATTGAGATTGAGTACATGTAAATCTACCCGACCGTAAAACGGGTGAACAGATGCACTGCGTAACACTGTAGCGAGACTGCAGTCCAGGTAAACCTTCCTATGAATACAATCAAAGCGTGTAGTATTGTGTGGTTGTACAGTCCACTATAAGCACTTGTTCCAATAGTGTACTGTACTACCATACAATAAAATAGAAGTTTTGGGTGGAATAAATTCTGTTATTGAAGCCAGTTTGTTATACGATGCTCGGAGCATTTTGGTGAAAACAAAAACAAAAACAAAACCTAAAACAATCCTTGAAAGACTAAAAAGCTGAATAATAATTTCAGTGTTGTTTGAGGACTTTGGATTGAAATCTTGCAGAAAATTTGTTATTACTGTGAAGAGACAAGTGACAGTTATCTTGCACTAAGTAAGAAAGCCAACAACAGAAATAATTATTTTGTGAGAAAAAGTCCATTGATTGACTGATTTTGTACAACTACATTTCACAAAGTGACTGAAGATCAATTGAAGCTCATACCGGTATGTGCTTTAAAGTTCGATTCTCCAAATGCTGCACAAAGTGTAAATTTTGTAATACAATTGTTTTGATATTGTACAACTTCTATTTTTGTTTCCTTCATTTCGGGTTCTTTTGATACACCCGAATCAGGCTTACCACTGAAAATAATCACAAGCCTTAAATTCACGATTTGATTAAAACTCAGAGTCTCTGGTTTAATTTCGGTAAGTACATGTAGCTACATGTACACATAACTCATATATGGAACAGGCTGTGGAGTTTTCATATCATAGCAAAAATGCAAAACCATCAGGAAATCAATGCCACTATGACTGCAACTCACTGGAACCCTAAATGTGTCTTTCACGTTTTTTCTTACGACTTAGCACTCAAACAAACACAACAAAACTTGCTTTTTGCTGGGAAAATTTAACCATGTCATGAGAAATCTGGCCATGTAAATGATACCTTAAAAACTGGCTGGATAAAATGCTCCTAAATCAACATGGAAGATTTAATTTTCAGAAGAAGATTGTTGTCAGCAAAAGTCAATATGGCTTAACGTTGCATTATTAACCTTAATCAAATAACCTTACTTGATCCATACTTGATTAAAGTAGACCTCCTACATAAGTACACTTACACACATTTTTATTTCATTTCTTGTGTCACTTACCACTTTTTGTTGGCAAAATAAAGACTCTTGACAACCTTTGCTTCACTGTCCACATGAATACATCTCCATTTCCCATCCCCGTCTGCAAATATTGGTCTGCAAAAGAAAATATGAGGGAAAAATGGGCAAAAAACATATCTGCATATCGTGAACCACTGTATTAATCAGCAGCTTGTTTTGTAAGAATTTACTGTAAGGAAAGGTTAAATTTAAAGGCTGGAAATTGTCATGATCAAACCTGCAACAAATACATGTATCTGTAACATCTGACACAATATGATCTTCATCCCAAAAGAAAGTCAGACACCAGACCGGTAGGCATTTGAACAACATGTAATCACAAGACACTTTGTTTGTGCTTTCCAATGGTGCTTATAAATACATGTACAAGCATGAGCCCCCACTGGCTCAGATGTACAGTATAACAAAGTGTGATGTCATTAGTGTGTGCAGGAGTGGCAAACATAGTGTGCACCTCTGCACAAAAGATATTCCCATAATGTAGGGTGCTATGGCATTGTGTGGACTCACACAAGTCCACACAATGTTGTCCCCTCTCTGACAAACAGTTTCAGAGGCATTTTGGGGTCAAAGTTATTGGCAAAATGAAGAGGAACAGTCCAGGAAATCATCGTCAAAAATCCAACTTGACGGAGTTATACAAGTTGGAGAAAAAGGAACATTTTCCTCAAGTTTCCTTAACCACAGGAGAACAAAGGAATGTCCACACTTTGCATGTAAAACAGATATGGGTGTGTTGGTGGGTTTGCCACAGGGTGTGGGTAATGTGTCTAGTGCAGTAGTGTTAATGTAGTTTGCTTTCTACCATCTGCTGCTGCTGCTAGCTAGCCCCATCAGGGTGAAAGGGGAACTGAGCGTGTAAGTCTTCCCCTGATAGTACACAGCCTTTCTGTCTTCAAGACTACTACAGTGCCTCCTCAAGGCAACACACGGTAACTGGGTATCTTGCAACCCCAGGCTGAACTGCAGCAGATCTCGAAGCGGCATCAGCCCCCAGAGTTATTGCGTGCAGGCCCACCGGTGTGTGGACACGCCCTGGTGCCATGTCAACCATCACTCCAGCTATGGGTTAAATAGTAAAGCCACGACAACAGGTGGTGGATTCTCCTTTCTGCTGTCTTCGACATCTCGGGGCAGCGACAGGAGGACTTCACCCAGGTGCCTTCAACGTCTTTAAAGCAGCACTCACAGTGACTTAATGCCTATTAATCCACAAAGTTTATTTTACTTATTCTACTTTTAGCACCCTATGAACTCATCTGAGAGGAAAATGCTGAAACTATTAAGGATTATTTTTAGGCAGAGATCTTATGAAAGAATGTTGTCAAAACAGATCTGGGCATATTAGTATATAATTATACCTCTGCTAAGTAACATGTAGCTCACAGGCAACACACATTTACATACATATAACATGTATGTACATGTAATCTCACGGAGGCTCTTCAGTTGAAGATTTGCTAGTGCAATTCTTTTACAATTTCAAATTCAGCAATTCACAAGTTTCAAAGTCATCCTCATGTCGTTCTAGGGGATATAACGCAACATCTAGGGAAATATTACCTCTGCTCTTGAAGTTTGCTGACTGTTCTGTAAAACTCTTTGCCAACTTGGTTGCCACACTGCCCAACTTGTACAAACACCGTAGACATTCTTTCATAGTTTAGACTGACCTGTCAAAACAAACGTTTTGAGTTAAATGTACGTAAAGTTTTAGTCCTCTGAAAGACTCTTATTATACTTTCCCATTAACAACTGTTACTAAGACAGAGCTTTTTTTTTTTTTTTTTTTTTGAAAAGTTACGATTATTTTGAATATTTTGTTCTGTTGAAGTACACCTTGGGACATGTGATCTTAGGTGGCAAAGTTGGTATTTGTGCCTTCCAGCTAATAAAGTCAGTTTTGAAAGCATCATTTTTGAAAACAGTTAATATTATAATCAGGGCCCATGTGTTCTCAAGTATGGTTTGAGCTTGTTTCTACTTTTATTTTTGCTAGGATGGGCAAACAAGGTAAAACACAATTTGTTCCAATTCCTTCGGCATATGTGGAATCTACACTTGTGCAAATTGCATTGAGGGCATCCCAAGAATGCTCTAGCCTTACCCAGTTCAGAAATGAGTCACAGTCAGAAGTCACATTAATTACCGGCAAGTTTTTCTCACACTTAGAAAACTGTCTGAGGTCATGACCTTTGATTCAAGTGGTACCAGTAAATGAGCTTTTAGTCCTGTTTAACTTGGGCTCACTAGCAAAGTATGTTTTTTGCCAACTTTCTCCCTAAGTCGCTCTAATTGGTCAAAGTGGAAGGGTACAGCAAAACTTTGGAGCAAATTATATTAATATTAATTAATAATTAAAAGTACCAAATCTGGTAGAGAAATAAATTAACATAATGCAAACAACACAGGATATTGATACATTGTAGACCTGGGATGTTGTAGACCTGGGACAGTTACGGCAAGCATCAATTTGTACAAATTGCCTAGTTGTACAGAGTTGTACTGAGTTAACACTTTGTATAAGTATGTGGAATGAGACATTTTCATCCCCTCTCTTCAACATGATCACGTGTTTGGAGGCAGAAGGAAATAAACAAGATTATATTTCCGTTTAATTTATCTCTTCAAAATTGTTAAAACGAGTGTCAGCATGGAAACAAACATACACGTACATGTACATCATGTATGCAGTGAATTTAGCAAACAGAAGCATATTTAAGTTCTTACTGTCCTAGAGCAGTGTCCTAGCAAAGTCCCAGGCTTTCCAAGAACATATACATATCAGATAAAGAGTGGCAATCCCTACCTCACTGGCGCTAAGAATACTTTAATTCAAGCCATGAAATTTTTTGCATCAATGGTTTCTAAACTTCCTTTTTTGCAGATATGATGCGACAGACTATTTTGTACACTTAAGGACAGTTAAATACACAAACAAATATGCAAAATGCATTTTCTTATTCATTTCAATTTCACGTGTTAAGTTTAATTTCACACAACCATGTGTTGGTTGTATTGCCACAAGGTGTGTGTTATGCATCCAGTGCATGAGTGTAGTCACAGTACTGCAAACCCCGCTTTGTACATGTACATGTACCTTCAGCTGCTGCCAGTGGGTAGCCCTACCCAAGGGTGAAAAGGGGACCAATTTTCCCCCTGCCACTACAAAACCTTCTTACCATCAAGGCTTCTGCAATGCCTGCTCATGGCAGCAGGAAACCGGGCATCTTGCAACCCCAGGCTGTACTGCAGAGAATCTCTGAGCAGCAAAAGGGTCCCGGAGACATGGTGTGCCGCCTAAGGCCCACTGGTGTGCGGACACACCCTGGTGCCCCTGCCGGGTTAAATAGCCCCAGCTATTACGAGTTAAATAATGAAGCCATGGCAAAAGATTGTGGATCTCCTGTCTGGGCATCTGTAGCATTTTTGCAGTAGTGGCTGGCAGTAGCTGTACTCAGTCTTTGACCAGACTTCAGAGAAGTCACTGCTCTGACCAAGGTGTCAGGATTTGTTCATGCATAGAAGGCGCTGATTGAGGCACAAGAAATATTGCCTTATCAGTTTATCCAGAATACAATCAGGAAGAGATTTTGCAACTCGAGGCTGTTGGCCACATTCATGGCTGCGAACCGAAGGAGACAACAAAACAATGACTAATTTTGGATTTTTGCCCTGCCCGACATGTATTACAACACCGTATACTCAGTGTTTTGCCCCAAAGGCTTGTAAAAACCCACAAGCGGGACTCGAACCCACAACCTCCTGTTTTCTAGTGCAGACGGCTTAACCACTCGACAACAGAGATATGCATGCTGATCTGGAAAGTTGAGTCCATCCTATGATGTAACATTTTTGCCAAGATTTGTCTGTTGCCCTCATTGACCGATTTTGGTAAATCTTTGCGAAGAGCCCAGGCTGAAACTGAAGAAAGCCCACAGAAAACGCCAAGTTTTTCTGATTTAATGGCATAAAAGAGGGTCTAATCCAACTTACATGTATTATTTATAAGCCTGACAGTTGAAAACTATCATATAACGTGAATTTCATCCTACATGGCCCATCCCCTTTATGTTTGGAAAGCATTTTTGTGGTATCTTCACATAAGGTGAACTATTAATCTTGTTTCTCTTGAATAATAATGTGGATTGGAAATGGGTGACCTTGTATCCACAAGTGATCTGATTTAGACAAGACATTACATGTTGCCTCAAAATATTTTTAACTGACATAGTGAAAGAAAAGTGCAGATGCCAGCTAATGACATTACTCTATACTCCCATTGTGCACATGTATGGACACCCACATGCAATAAAAGCACAGTATCTTATGTCACTGAACACATGCCTGGCATTCGGGTAGGCTGAATTAGTGTAAAATTGTACCATGGACTGGGTGAATTGAAACAAAGTTGGAATAAAACATAAAGTGAAAAGTGATGAAAGTGTTGAAGACATTGGCTACTGTCCTGTTGGGCTACCATTTTTGGAGTGTGTGCTGGCCTGAATAATTTTTCAATGGCCCCAGGCCAGCGAACAAGAGTTTATTTTGATTCCTGTGCTCCCACCCCGATCAGTGCTTAAGCAGACATTGATGCATTCTACACGCAGCTCAAGAAAACTCTGAGCTCAATCCCAAATATGGACAAAGTCATCAGATTTTCAAGAGGTACTTTGCAGCAGGAAATGTTAATTTTAATCACAGGGTTTGCCCTACCTGACGTATATATATATAAACACTGTATACCCATTGCATGTCTGAGAGCTTGAAAAAAAAAATTTACAAGCTTACTTGGGTGGGACTTGAACCCACAACCTAGACGTCTGTGCCTCCTGCTGCTTAGATGTCTGTACTAGTCGGCAGGAGGTCATGGGTTTAAGTCCCACCTCAGTAAGGCTTAAAATTTTTTCGCAAACTTTCAGACAAACACCGAGTTACAGTGTTTATGATGGGAAGCTTGTAATTAAACGTCAGCATACTGGGAGAAATTCAATGCAAGGGTTGGAAACAATTGGGCCACTGGCTGAAAGTGCTGGGAATCGTGGATGAGTTCCCTTAACACCAATGGTGAGCTCCTTCTGCAATTGTGCAGTGAGAGTAAGCTTGCCATCACGAACAGTTTCTTCAACATGCCAATAACCAATTTTCCAAGAAACACCCTTGGTCAGTCACTGGTTTACATACACATATGCCAAAAGCAGCTGAAGGATGTCTACACTCCCAAGACCACGAGAGAAACTCCCCACCAAGAAAAAAGATTCTAACACTAAAAAAATGGGAAGCACTCTTCTCACACAGGCTGGTTTTTGTGGTGCCATACAATTCGGCCTTGTTGCATTTTCTTAGTGCTGGGGTAAGAAGGCGGGAAATCAATTAGCTATAACCTGAGTACACTTCAGTCAAAATTACTCCAGCTTGGCAGTGTCTGTTGATACATGCTTGTTTAATACCTTCTTCGGTAACTATGGAAACCAGCTGCAGGTGGAGCCAAACAAAATGAACTTTAGCCTGTCTTTTTTTTAATGCATTACTGAATTCTTTTTCTTAACAAGTCCTCTCACCTTTATTGTCGAGTGTAAAATCCAAAGTCACCTTCAAAATATGACTATAATATATCATTTCACATTGGACTAAGAGGCCACTTGAAAATTCAGTTTAGTTTTACTTTACATAATATTGGTAAAGTTAAAACCTACATGAAATCTGGGTTTCATTACGAACTTTGAATAGAGGTATTTGTTGAGTTTTAATTTAGTTGAAATCCAGGTTTCCTAAAAAATTTCCAATAGTTTAAGGTATCATGTAGTCATAACTTACAAGAAATCGTGGTTGCTTTACAAGCTGTTTGGATCAATTTATTTGCACGTAGTTAGGAACGATCCTCTTCACATAATTAATTCTGGACTTTTGCCCTGCCTAATGTGTATTATAACACTGTATCCTCAGTGTTTGCCCCCCAAAACCACAAGCATACTCAGATGGGACTTCACTCCAGAGCCTTGATGGGGTTTACTTTCCCAATGCTCTTGAAGGCACTGGTACTGTTACAGCCACTGAATGCAGGAGTGGCAGGAGTGCTGTGCAGTGCTCTGGTGTGTACTTCTTTGCCTTTTCTGTGACACTGATGAGTCATTTGTAGAGTTACCTTTTCCAGTTGTAAGGCATAATACAGGAGAATGAAAAAGACGTCAGCGTCAGGACTTTTGACTCAAATTAACTCATAACCCTTCACCAGCCCATACATACAGCAGAGAACGACCCTTGAATGTTTCTTCCCGGTTTGATTTAAGACTTTCAACTTCCGTCTTTTTTGTGGTCTGCCCATCTGCTGAAGTCAGCCTGTAGGCCACTCCTTCAAAGATGAATACAACCTTTCTGTCTCAAACTTTCCAGCATAGTCATCTTTGCTCCACACCTTCAAGATCACTTTATGAACTGTCGTTGTCTTCATTTGTAAGAAATGGTTTCCCAGATCGCTTTGTCTTTTCCCCTCTGATAATTCGAATTTCTCCACAACCTGGTCTCTTTCATTCTCCAGACTTGTACACACATGTATCAAAGCTGAAAATTACATCAGATTTGAAGGGCATCATGCTAAAGATTTTGAAGCTGGTTTGCAATCTCTAGCTGGGTAACACAATTGTGCCGTTTTGTAAAGTCGTGTTAATTGCTG